TTCGCCGTTCAACTGCTGCGAGCGGGTGGGGGTGGGAGGGGAGGGGATTGTTCTTCCGCCCTGATTGCGGCTTCGGTCCATTCTCGGGTCATGGCTTGACCCTTGTTGCGTAATTTGATCCTTGAGTTGCATTGGCTTATCCTCGTGATCTCGCTCGATGTGCCTGTTTATTGAGTTGATTGAGGAGTGGAAAGCCTCGAGAAAAATTGACAAGCCCGGCTAACAGGCGAAATGGAAGAGCTAGGAGATATCACAAATTTTCCTTGTTTCGTGCACTACTACAGGTGTCAAAATTTAACACTTGACAATATTTTATCCGGTTTTTAATTCAGAGAATCAATTGTGAATGCAGAAAAAAACATGAGGTGGTAGGCAATTCCAAATATCACCAAGTCTGAGGGAAGACGAATGACAGNCGACAGTTTTGGAGCACGGACTTGAACGAGTGCCCCTTGAGGTGAGTATTGGGCGTCAAGCTGAAGAGTGACCAAGGTTCTGCACTATTTGATACATTAAAGTCAAGTCTCTTCGAATTCGATGATACTGGATGGGGTACAACCCCAATGATTCCACTCTCTCCACATGAATCTTGGAGGGCAGGCCGTGACAATCTTGGTGGCCATTCTTTGTGGTCCTTCATAAATCTTTCGGTCGCGTTGCAGCCGTGGATTCCACGCATGAATGGCTTAATCTCTGTCGGGTCGAATGTAGCTGATAGCACATGTGGAAACAGCATAAGTTCTAATTTACCAAATACTAGATTTAGCAAACCAATACGTCTTGCAACGGTGGACGATGTCCTGGGACAGTTTGCAGGACAGCTTAGGTTATATTGAACATTGACATCGAGGTCGTTCTCATTCGAGGCATACGGAAGTTGTTGATACCCCAGGAATTACGATGACCGCGTTTCGTGCTGAAAGTATCCCGCCGTACATTCTGATGCAATGAATTCGATTTTACTTTCGATCGATCAATGATAAGCAGCAGTCAGTGTTATCCGAAGTGCCACTGAGTTCTCAGGTGTTGCCATGATTTTCATATTTTTTTCACCCTCTGCAAACATTAGCGTTTGCTGCCCCAAAACGCCCTTTACATCGTTTACGAAAATGGTAAAATATTAAAGGCCAAGCAAGGATCAGTGAGGAACTACTCGGGGTACGCTGATAGGATCAGATAGTGACCCAGAGACCCGAACTACGGTGGTGCGTTGTTGAAGAAATTCTTCTATCCAACTCAGTGCAAGTCCCCGAATTCCAAAATTGTTTAGTTTATTCAACAGTATTTTGTAGTTCACTTGGTCAAATGCCTTGGAAAATTCGAGCTACACTCCGTCCACGCGAACACCGTGATCAACTGCTTTTGTCCAGTCTTCTGGTGCCAGAGCCAGGTTAGTGGTGCACGATCACCTACGAAGAAACCCCTGTTTTTACAACGGTTTTGGATGAAATTTAAACTTGCGCATCAGAATTTCGTGAAGCACAAACTTGTCTTCCCACCAATTTGCAGCAGTGGTACTCCTGAAAATAGTGGATATCCCATGTGTTGTTAACAGGAAATCGTTTGTAAGCTCCTATCTTTGTATCTTTGTGGTCACGCCCCTCACCGTTTCAATGAAGTGATTCATAATTCCTTGCCAGGATACCAAGGGATCACAGTGTTAGTTGAGAAAGTCCCATTGGAAGTCTTTCACCAATATCCTAGGGTTGGTGTAACCGATAAACGTACATAAGTTAGCAGTAGAAATTTGAGGTTAATACGCATGGCAAATGTAGTCAAACAACAAGCCTGTGCAGACCATTTATGACTCCAGTGTGTTTTTCGGGACTGATCTTCTATTGGTTCAGAAGTCATCCAGTTGTAATTGGCAGTTAGAACACGAATGGGGATTGGGGATGATGTGACTAGTGCATCCTGAATTCCTTCTTCGCACCACTTCTGTAGTCACCATATAAATTGGCGTCGGTTTGAGTATTTTGCAGCTAGGAGATTATAGTGCGTGACTCATGAATTTCGGTAAACAGATTTTATGTACATAACCGAATATGTCGTTTTTCAGCTGCGACCAGTGTGTGAACCCGACGTGTTTCTGATGGCTCGGGGATTACTCGAGGGAAAACGAAATTTTACGTATTCCATTTCTGGTGTTGTTGGATTACTATATTCTTCTCGACACCTAGTACTTCTTCACATAATTTGTCTCGATTTGTATTCTAGCAACAGTTCACGAAACGATTGTTGATCGTATGAATCGGGATGAATAAAGTGCCAATTCAGTTAAGTTGTTGGATCTCTTCAAGACCTTCCCTAAACTGATATTCGATGACGATTTGAACGTTCAATTTTGCAATTATCGTCCACAACTTGATGCTGAATACCGCCTTATATAAATCCATCCTTCATGGACCACATGAAGAACTTATCGGGTGCATATTTTTTCCTTGGCGGCAGTGGTCAAGTAATCAAGGTCACCAAATTTTCGCTCCTGAGGTCTTGTGTTCAAATCCAATATCGCTGCCTAACAATCCCCCTTTTGTTGTGTCACAAGACAGCCATTTGATTTGTCTAGATAACTTTCCAAAACCTTTTCCGCTTCCATATTTTCCTCAGAAGAAGGAATTATATGAATAATAATAATAATCACAATTAACTGCTGTCACATTCCAGGTTTGGTCAAAGAGATTAACGTTGGCTATTTCGGCTGCTTCATGTTTGCCGCTGTCAGCGACTTCTGTTCCGGTTTAATCCTGCTTGTACAAACTTTGCTGCATTCAAAACTGTGGCACACAATTACTCGCCCGTGTCTACGCTCCAACGAGGATGTTGAAGCGGGTGAGAATGAAATAGACAAATGGGAAGCATCCGGTCGCGATACGAACTCACATTCAGCAGACCCCGAATCCGGTCGCTATTACGGCTCGTCACTGTCGATGCGGGGAGCTGCTTGAGAGTGTTTCTTAAGTTTATTCATCCACAAAGAACACATGCACTTTGAATACGAGCTCACGCCTAAGTTGTTTTGCAGGCGGGAGATGAAAATGCGCCAAATTACTGTTCCCTCTTTCTCGCACAATCTATCTCTCAACCTCCTGGCCAGGAGGAAGATTGGTGTGTATGTACTAAACCAAGCGTGTCAACCGTTTACATGTTCTGCCAACTGACTATTTAGAAGTATTCAGTTTGTTCTGTTTCCCTGTAAAACGCAGGATATTGACGTGATGCTCTTGCTCCCGTGAAACAGATATTCAAACGTTACAAAACCATAACAAATTGTGTTAATAATGGGGTTCAGTTTTCTGTGGGTTCCATGGGATTTATGTGGACAGAGAAGAAAGTTACTTTAACAACCTAAGGTTCGAAGCAAATGCAAGCCAAGAAAATTGGTTTGGTCACTGTGCTCGTGATAATTTGTACACTTTTATTATACAAATGAAGTAGTTTTTTATAGACTGCAAACTTTCAACTAGAGCCTAGGAGAAAATTGCACAAATTCAGATTCTGGGCATCGAGGAGTTGGTAGAACGAAAGTTAGCGGCACTTCACGCTAGCTCAATATTTTGGGGTGGAGACTATGTATGACCCAATTCCTTGACATATTTGGTTATCATGCTATTCGTGGTAACGTGCGAGGTCATAGAAACAGTCGTCAGGTCCAGGGAAATGCTTTTTCTCGTGAAGGTGTTGAGTGATCCGACCTCGCTGGAAGTTTGCGAGTGCACGGTACATCTGTGTACAACAGCCGAATGTATGAAGCTGGAGAGGGTTCAACGAGCCTCCAGGGGCCTTATCGACGGGTTACGTGGACATTGCTACACTGTACGATTGCAGGCCACAGAACCGTTCCCCGAGCCATATCAAGGAGTTAATTGTTACGTCATATGTGTGCGGCGTATCCTACTTGATGACATGAGCCAAGAGCTAATGGAATACTTCCCTCTGTGCTAGTAGAACTAGACATGTGGATATAGGCTCACACTGTCCAAGCTTCCGGCAATCGGATCTTTTCTCAGGTATCTACTGTCGCGCAGAGTAATCAACCTAAAGAACTTCCTTCCAGCTTAAATGATGGATGAGGTCAATGATAGCACATTCAAGAGGAAGCTTGACTGCGTTCTTCGTGAAAAGTGGTATGCAGATAAGACATGAATGCATACCTTGAGTCCGTGGGGACGAGGTTTATACGGGAGGTTTCCCACTGCCTATAATTGACGAACATTGAACACTGACTTGAGGTTCGGCGGTCGGAGGACGGCATCATCTTCATCACTGTTTGTTCTTTGAAGCCAAACCGAAATATATTCGATTGTCCGATGACGTCACCGACTGTCCGTTCTACCGATGCAGATGGCTAAGCATCCACATTTGAAATGATGGATGGTAGATTTTACCTAAGAGGGCGTGTGGTTTCATCAATGATATTTATATCTGTGTGGTTGAGAAAACCATCCGTAGATCAGTCATGCAATATGTGCAGTTGACTGTTGAGGACACTCGTTGGATAAGTATCCGACTATTTGCAGCTGCCGAGGGAGATACTTGTTGGAATAGGTTGAGACATGACCATCGGAATTCGCAGACCTGAAATCAGTCACCACGAAGGAACTAGGAGTACACATTTCAACAATTCATTGAAGTGACTTGTACAGACGCTCGGCTGAGCAAGCCTCACTTTCAGTGGGTGTATAGCTTAGGCGTTACCTGAATCAGTGATAAAGATAAGCAAAATGCGGCTCCAGTGGATTCAGTGACTGCAGCTGAACATCAAAGCTTCACATCAAAAGCCGCTCAAAATAAGGTGTGTAAGATCGACCGCTATGGCCTGAGCTTTTCGCTTCGCAATGTTCACAGCTTTTCAGCACATGTTGTGGCCCGTGATTACCGACAAAGCTACTACTAAGATCCGGGTGCTTGTGTTCTAATAAACGGAGAATTTAAACCAGTACTGTTATGGCTTAAAACTGACTGATTTGTGTTCATACATGACAGTGGTCAAATTGATTGATCGATCGATCGGTTGATCGATTGACTGACTGTTTGAATTCTGACTTGACGGCATTCGAAGTTTGCAGATGAATTTTCATATGACAGAAAATGGTTTAAAACAATAATGTAATGCAGCCACTTGACGTAATCCTCAACGATACATAGCAACACACAATATGGCAGTAATTTTGAGTAGATGAATAAGCAAGAAAGGGTGACAAATATATGACGGGAAAGCGCGGTAGTGGCATTTCTCTGCTCAGGGATAATACTCGAGCATAGCAGATGTTCTCACTGCAATTCACCTATTTTTCCAAATTTGGTTTGAGTACTCTCGAATCACCAAGTTAGGTACATCTTACCTACATAAGAGAATAAACTATCATATAAAATAATACAGGATAGTTATTACAATCTTCAACGATTTTGGATCCTCGGAATATAAAAACCTGAAAGCCAACGAAAAACTCAAGGCAGTGAGTCAAGCAACTTTGGCTTGGTTGACTGCTATGAGGGGAAAGCACGGAAAGTTCTCAATGGTGGAGAGCGTCGCACGTTAGAAGGCAATCCAACTATCACAAAGATTTCATCATAATGACTTCAAGGTTTCCAAAGGTTGATTTCGCGCTTGGTCAGACAGATATGGTATTCAATCGTACAAAGTAAGAAACAAGCAAATCATGTGCCTTACTTCATGGGCCTGTGGGAAAAGTTTAGCGGTACCACGTGATGCAGTGGACGATTTTCGAGTAGGGTTACAACAGTTTATACAATTGATATGCTGACTGTGATATTTTCAATGTAGATGAAACAGCTTTGTGTTACAGGTAGCTCTCAGAAAGAACATTGAGTCTGAAAGGAAAGACAGTTTCTGGGTCCAAGAACTCCAAAGAGAGGGTCACGTTACTGCTTTGTGGGAGCATAACTGGAGAAAGGTTATCACCGTTGGTGGTTGGATAGCTTCAAACTCCACGATGCCTCCGAGGTATAGTTGGAAAAAGCCCTCCATGCAGTTATGATTCTTCAAAGAACGCATGGATGACTTCTACGTTATTTCACAGTTGGCTGTCCTATATCAACCAAAGGCGATCTATTTTACTATTTAGGGACAACGCCCCTATTGATTTAAACAGCGTTTTTTTATTACCAAAGGAAAGCCAAGCTTAGACAGACGACGATTTAAGATTTTGCTAAAAATACATCTTTGTTATATGCGAATATTTTTTGCAATTCTGTGGCGCACTCGAATTTCGTCATTTTTGCTCCAGTGGTCACCAAAGCCACGGTCATTCGGTCTATCGATGGGCTCTGTCGCACTAACGTGCAAACGGGTGAACGATGGTCGCGACTGACTGGTAAGCGGGTGAGTGGAGTGAGATGTCAGATCCGAGCGATCCATAAACATCGTCACGCGGACGCGCCTGTGTGAATGATTGAACGATACTCTCACTTGCCCTAAAACACCAATGAAATTAGACAGGTCACCTTCCAAAGGTCATCGTAACCTGGGTCTAAGGACAGTTTGTGAGATGCACTTTTAGCTCATGAATCATTAACTGTTTGAGAGTTGTCGTACTTCCTGTAGGCTGGCATCTATGGCCTTCGGTTGGCTGAACAGGAGTGAATTTCTTCCATGCTAACTCCTGTCTCACGCCTGCCGGAAAATTTGCGCGAGAACCCACTTAAAAATAGTGCATGTATCTTAGCCGAGTCAAACGTTGGCCCAGTGTCACCATCGTTTGAACTTTTTCATTCCGACTCTCCCACATGGCGCATCGTTCCACAACCGATTCTACTGTGGTTAAGTGGCATCCGATTCAGAACGTATCCTTTTCCTATGCCGGCCCGAAAATCACACGACCGATCGGGTTCGTCTATTGATCGGTCAGATAGGTCACTGCAACAAAAGACCTGGCGCTTCCCCACCTAACCCGAGCGAGAAACCACACCTTGTCTACAACCGCGAATCTAAAGTAGACCCAGTGAACTTCGGCTGTACAACAGGCGTGCCTTCACCACGCGCATGGACTGGACATGACAACAAGATCATCACAAAAAGTACAAGACAATGTGAAACGATGCAGCAATCGGACTATCGTACCATCCACATAGCAACATGACATTGATACTCGGACATCTTAAATTGAAAAAAGTATGCTTTATGAATCACGTTAAGGCATTACTAGTTGAACCTAGTCCGACCAACAACGGTCATGATGGATGCATCAATTGGTTTGAACAGACACTGGTAACAACAATAGCGAACGAACGAATAGATAACTACAGACGCTACTGATACACATTTTTTAATAGAAAATCATGAATGGATTACACAGCAAACAATCAGTTTGAATATGGGAAAGAAGTCAGTGTTCTGAGTATACCCCGTAACAGATGCAGTCAAGCTCCTACTATGTCGCACCAATCGGGAATTCGATAAAGTGGGTAAATATCAGGAACTGCGACATAGCAGGATCACCAGTAGTAGGTGCTAATAAGTAGTATAAAAATCGGTTGACAGTTTTGTGACAAAATAAACCGGATCGATGAAAAGTAGGTTAATCCCGTTAGTTGATCACAATAGTTACGATTATAAACTCTTTATTTATAGCGGCATTTGGATCTACCGTCCTGCGTAGCTGGTATATATCGCAGAAATTTGAATATTTTAGGACGCCCTCAGCCGGTACATTGCGTCCGGCATTCAGCCATTTTCAATTCTGTGTCTAATTATCCCGAATCTACCAACCTTTCTTCAGGGGAACCTTTTCTAACCCAATTATCCCATAATAATTCCACATATTCCTCCATTCTGTTGCAACTTTAGGCTAACCACAGAATTGATCATATGACTTCCACCATATTATACAACTGTTTTAGCTTTAATAATCACATCATTATTAACCCATTCGAGGAAAACAAAGATGAACCAGTTCGAATAAACTGAGCGGGAAATGACATCTAA